ATCTCTGCTAAAAAGGTTCTGGAATATGCTACGGTGGACCCCTTTCCCGAGTTGATCGCAAGGTGCAGCACTAGTATGGAGGATGTGGCGCCTTGTCACATGGAAAGAAAAATTCCCTACGCGTAGCATCTAGTCTTAGTATAGTTAGTTTTAACCGCGCTAGTTAGTAAGCTTAGTTTTAAGAACACGCGAACGTTTGGACTTCCTCTCCTTCCTTACTTGCTCGTACCTGAAGCTACAAAAGAGCCACGCCGTTAGTGACCTGTGCAATTTAAGATTAAAAGAACGAACCAAAGAATAAACGTACAGCACTTGTGTGAGTAAAGTAAAGTGTTTTAATAAAACCAGATGACCACGCCGGGTCGCTACATTGGTTCCGAACCCGATTTTATTGGATTCGAAAAAGTGAAACCACGTGGCCACCATGACCGAAAGTGTGAACGATGCTAAAGTAGAGGTGCAAGCCAGTGAGTTCAGAAACGTTAAGCTGCCCAAATTTTGGAAGGAAGAACCACGACTATGGTTCATAATGCTTGAACGCGAATTTGCTGCGTACAACAACGTGAAGGCGGAGGCGATAAAGTGTTCCGCAGTGCTAAGGAACCTCGACCAGGCGACAATGAAAATTGTTCTGGACATCATTGAAGCTCTGCCGGAAAAGAGTACGTATCAAGACCTAAAAACGGCTCTCATCGAACGGTTGGCAAAATCGGACGAGGCCAACCTGAGGCATCTGCTTTCGAGACTCGAGCTAGCAGATCGTAAGCCATCGGAACTGCTAAGAGAGATGATGCAGTTAGCGGGAGAAAATGTCAGCGAAAATGCAGTCCGGACACTATGGATGCAGCGATTACCCGTTCGAGTACAAGAAGTCTTAACCATTCTCGATGGTGCAGAATTGGATCGTTTGTCGAAGGTGGCCGACAAAACCATTGAACGCTCCACATTGGAGGTGGCCACCGTGGCTGGTTCTTCGCACGCCAAGATGGACGCCGGACGTGAGAAGGACAGCGAGCTGGCAGCCATTATCAAAAGGCTCTCGCGCATCGAGACGCAGTTGGCTAGGCGTAGCCGAAGCCCATGGAGACGTCGTTTCCAAAGAAGGCAGAGAAGCAGTTCCAGAGGCAGCAACTCCGAAAATGCAGAACGGAATGGACTCTGCTACTTCCACCACAGATTTGGCACTAAGGCTTGGAAGTGCAAGGAACCCTGCGCATGGGTGCCCCCCGAGAAGAAGAAGCAGACGGAAAACTAAAATCTCCGTCACGGGAAGAGGCGCTCGTCGATGGAAGCAAGAAACACCGCCTCAGCATCAGGGACAAGAGGACCAATACAGAGTTCCTGATAGATACCGGAGCGGATGTGTCAGTTGTTCCAAAGAAGTACGGCGACCGGAACGTCAGGGTAAGCGCCTTCAAATTATATGCGGCAAATGGAGCGGTAATAGACACTTTTGGTGAAAAATTATTATCCTTAAATTTAGGTTTACGTAGAGAATTTTCTTGGCGTTTTATAGTGGCTGATGTCACAAAACCAATTATCGGTGCAGATTTTTTACACTTTCACAACTTGTTAGTAGATTTGCGAAATAGCAGAATCTTGGATGGTTGTACTCAAATTCACAAAAATATTCCCTTGTCAAACGATAATTCACCATCCGTATCAACAATAGACAATAATAACCGTTTCGCTAAATTACTCAGGGAATTCATTGACATCACCAAACTGAGAACAAACAAAACTATGATGCACAACGTCAATCATCATATAATAACAAAAGGCCATCCATTTGCCGAGCGAGCGAGGCGTTTACCTCCCGAAAAATTAAAGATAGCACGAGCCGAGTTTGAGCAAATGCTAAAAGAAAATGTCTGTCGGCCGTCTGAAAGCCAGTGGGCCAGTCCGTTACATATGGTCCCAAAAAAAGCAGGCGAATGGAGACCATGCGGGGACTATCGTCGCCTAAATGGCATGACCGTACCGAATAGGTACCCTCTACCTCATATTCATGATGCAGCTCATCGTTTTCACGGCTGCACGGTTTTTTCAAAGATAGATTTAAAGCGAGCATATTTCCAAATTCCGGTAGCACCGGAGGACATAGAGAAAACTGCTGTGATAACACCTTTTGGGTTATACGAATTTATGGTCATGCCATTTGGGCTATGCAATGCCGCACAGACATTTCAAAGGCTCATGGATTCCACATTACGAGGCTTACACTTTTGCCAATGTTATATAGACGACATAATTGTCGCTTCTCCTGATGTGGAAGCGCATGAGCAACACTTACGTCTAGTATTTAATAGATTAAGAGAGAATGGTTTAACTATAAATTTAGCCAAATGTAAGTTCGCGGAAAAAGCAATAGAATATTTAGGATGTAAGGTTAGTGTTGAAGGGATCGCGCCGCTGGAAGAGCGGGTCCAAGCGATTCGAGAGTACCAGAAACCCAAAACATTAGCCGAACTTCGTAGATTTCTAGGAGTAATTGGATTTTATCGCAGGTTCCTCCCTCAAGCAGCAAACTGGCTGGATCCGCTTAATAAACATCTGAAGGGTGCGCATAAAAGAGACCAAAGGCCGGTTGATTGGGACGATGAGTCAGAAAAGGCATTTCTGGAAGCGAAAGAGCGTGTAGCAGCAGCGTCCTTGCTGCATTTTCCAAAGGAAAACGCTCCGTTACTGTTGCGTACCGACGCTTGCGATATTGCAATCGGAGCCGCGCTCGAACAATTGGTAAACGGGAAATGGGAACCACTCGGTTTTTTCTCGCAGAAACTGGAGAAAGCACAAGCAAACTACAGTGTATATGACAGGGAGTTACTAGCCATATATAAGAGCCTCAAATTTTTTAGCCATTTTGTAGAGGTTAGAGAATTACGCATTCATACTGACCACAAACCGTTAATATACGCGTTCCAGTAAAAAGCTGACAAGGCTAGTCCACGTCAATTGCGGCAACTCGACTACATCGGCCAATTTACCACCGATATATCCTATATTGATGGTAAGAATAAAATAGTAGCCGATGCTTTGTCTAGGTTGCAAACAATACAACTACCCGTGATAGTTTCTACAGAAGAATTAATACAAACACAGGCAAAAGGTGAGGAATTAAAAGAAATAATAGAAGAAACCCCTAACAAATGGAACTTTCAGAAAATATATTTAGACAGTTCAGATCAATATATTTATGGCGATGTAGTTAGAAACAGTATTAGACCTTATGTGCCACAATGTTTAAGAAAACAAATTTTCTACAAAATACACGACATATCGCATCCTAGTGGAAGAACATCAAAAAAGTTGATAGCGAAGAGTTTCGTTCGGCCGAAAATGAATAAGGATATAACCGAGTGGTCCCGTACTTGTATAGCATGTCACAAAAGTAAGATACATCGTCACAATAGGCCAGCCCCTCAGAAAATAGAAATACCTACTGGTA